TATTCAAGCTATAATGCCAATCTTCAACATATAAAGCATGGTTTCTTTTGAGTGAAATAACCTCATGATTGCAGATAAGCTTTTACAATATGATGTTTCATGATAGTGGTCACTTGCTTCCAGATTTAAAAGTGGGGGTTCTAATTACTACAATATAAAAAGCACAACTGATAGCGATAATTGGAGCAGATACAATATGGTTTGATATCCTTCTCTATGCAAGGAATAAATACATTTTGTGACCATATGTTGTCACGGGAAGACAAACCGAACTCTTTGTGTTTGTAGTATAGCATGTTGATATATACACATGTCTAGACCCGATCGATTGGACATATCCACCTGAAATATATTGACAGGATTTTTGCTCATCAAAACCGCGTGCCAAGTAAGCTCCCTCCTTAATCCTTACATTTTTCTTAATATGCACATGCACACTCTCATAGGAAACATGTACATAATTGTAATTTAGGTGCTTCTTTAGTGTTGTTTCCATAAGATTGTATTATCTGAGGTGGTTGTTCTAGAATTGTGAATCGTGATTGTATCTCCTCTAAGAAATTTTCAAAGTTAAGCTATAAAAGAGGCTAACCTGAGCTTCCACTTTAATTTAGATGGTAAGAGAGCAATGAACCCACTTCAAATTGATTGGGGGTTGACAATGCCTGAGAAACGGTTTAGCCTTCTTCAGTGTATCACAACATCCTGATAGTATCTCAACCAAAGCAATTTTTGTTTTCATGCCTGATGTTGATACAAGTTGTTTACCTAGAGGAGAGCCCCAGCAAGTTAGCTCTTGGAGTTGCGATGCGAAAATGGGTAAGGCAAAAATGGTTTATACAAAAGGACATACTATGATCATATAGAATGTGTTGGTAGAGATAGTCATCAATCTCATTTTATTGATGAAGCCACCGAGGAGAAGAGAGGAATCACCATTGGTATTTTATATTTTACAAGGTTATTATAATGATCATTCCTTTCATTTAACGTAAATTTTTATTATGACTAAAGTGATATTACCCCAAGCCATAAATTGCAGCAAGAATGGTCGTTTGAATTAATGTGCACTTATGCAAAATGTCATGTACCTGCCAAGAAGGAGTAAGAGTGGATCAATCAATGTGTTTGTTGTCGAGAAGGATAAGAATCAATCAATGTGTTTGTTGTCGAGAAGGATAAGAATCGTGATAATGGGATGGTTCATGACGATTGACATATATATATTGAAGTGAAAGAAATTACGGAGTTGTAAGTCATTTGTGTGTATAGTGTAGCAGAGTCGTTAGGAGTGATTTGGTAGGATTTCACAGTGGTAGGGATATTGACAAAAGTTATTATGTGTTGGTGCTTCCACGCATATATAGCTTGCCTGTTTCTTTTGTTTGTATAAGAGATTTATACAACAGATTGCATGCTTTGTATTTCCTTTTTTTTTTTGTCATTTTAATTAACAAAACTATATATCAGAAAAAACTGGCCGACGCATTCCATCAACGTGATTTGGACATTGCTGATTTTTGTTTTCTCAACCAGGGATTCATCGCCTTTGGTGTCACTGTAGTTTTTGGTCTAAGGGCAATCCAGATTGGTGTTTTCTTACGAAATCTCTTGGTGGCTTCCATTTTTACCATCGATAATTGGATTCAGGTAAGCATTCCTTTGGTTTTTTCATGTTCACTCTAGGGGCATCATGGTGCATGGAAATAGTGGCTATATTTAAGGCTAATGGCTTGGTTTGGATTGTCCATTATAGTGTTTATGTTTTACTGTTTTCCTTTGTAATGCAATGGGATAATGACTTTACACCATATTATTATATATGGTGTTGTTGACCTACCTCCGACCACCGCCGCATACATGTTAACGAGTAATATTAATTAGAATCTAAGAGTCAATTTCCATGACTACGTCCGACCAAAGGCCTGGTAATAAGCTAGTTAAACAAGAACTCACAAACGCAAATACCCAAGCACAATTTTTTTTTCCTTTCTAATTCTCAAGTACAGCTTTGTGGCTGTATAACAAATTTATTTTTTTCACTTCTTTTTCGGACATTGTAGAAATCTCACGTTACAATTAAAGAAGGGGAAAAAAAATCTTTTTACTAACGTGATCGGAAAGAATCAAAGGAACAATTCTGTTTTTTTTTTTTTTGTTTCTTCCCCAATATGGCTTTTTTATGCTCTTTTTTTCCTTGGCTTTTCTTGAAAATACCTCTTACAAAAATAAAAAAGAACATGAACTAAAAATAAAGGATATACGCATAACACATGAGGACGTACACGTTGGATACGTATGCCACTGTGTTTGAAACAGTCTCTTATACCACATGATATGAATCGAGACTGAACTCTTGGACTCACGAGTTACCAAAGTACGTACCAATTGAGCTTCAAGATAACTCTCACGGTCTTCAGCAGACAATAAAGATGATGATGGAAATCAATCAAACAATTTCAAACTTAATAGAAGTGCCAATTGATATAGGGTAGAAACTCGCCACAACTAGAGGGAACATCTAATTGATAAGAGATGCAATCAAAAGAAGGACCTGGGCCTTACGCCTAACGCCTTTTTGAACCTTGAGTATAGGGCAAGCATTTTAGAATGTCAACCTGGGCCAGTCCATGTACTCCTACTTCTACAGTTTAAAATGTTATCTAGCAATAATTTTTGAGTGAAAACTAAGGCCTACAATTTAAAGCAAGCAAGAAGTTAAATTGTTGTAGAATCTATATGAGAAAACTTCACCCAGGTATTGCTCCCCCTAACCTTGTATCAAGTTGCAATAAACATAACTCTAATGTGAAACAGTGTGTTCTTATACGGCTATACTACACCATACTAGAGTTTATACTTGGGCTCTAGTCGGTATTTTATTTGTGTAGTTAGGACGAGTCACTCTAACTCAAGACAACATTCATAAACCTAACCATGTGTACTTTGCAGCTATTTCTACCTCACAAGTGGATGTTCCTTTGCTCCCAAACACGGTTAAAGAAGCCATGCGCTCTCCTGAATGGCGTGTGGCCATGGACACTGAATTTTGAGCTCTCTGCTCCAACCATACATGAGATCTTGTGCCTCATCAACCCTCCTTCAATATTGCGGGAAACCGCTGGATATTTTTCATCGAACGTCGTCTAGATGGATCCATTAAGAGCTTCAAGGCATGTCTTGTTTCCAAGGTCTTTCATTAGCATCTTGGTGTTGATTTTGGAGAGACATTCAGTTTGGTGCTCAAAACTATTACTATTCACACCGTGTTCACCTTAGAATTCTCTAAAAATTAGAACATCTTGCAGTTTGATGTGAAGAATGCCTTCTTGCAAGGGTCGTTGTACGTAAGAGGTGGTTTACATGTCTCAACCAACTTGATTTCATGATCATAGGCATTGTCAGCATATTTTTTTTTTTACTTCTGCAGGCCATCTACGGCCTTAAGCAAACTACTTTTGCTTGGTATGAGGCCTTAAGATCCTTTCTTGAGCAGTGTGGCTTCCACAAAGCATGCTATGAAGCTTCACTATTTGTTTATAATAGTGGTTCACTCCTTGCCTTCTTTCTCATGTATGTTGATGACTTGCTACTCACTAGAAACACTCCTACATTTTTGCACCAGTTTCAAGGTTAGTTATCCACCCGCTTTGCTCATTAGTCTTGGTGATGCTACATATTTCTTGGTATTGAGATTATTCGCACTTCCACGACTATTTGATATCTCAGCATAAGTAATCCTTGATCTTCTACATCAGTTTCAAATGCATGAAGCTAAACCAACAACCATGCCTCTCACATCTATGACGTGCCTCACTCTTGTAGATGGTTCGGCTTTGACCGACGAGACTCTTTATTGCCGAGCTATGGGGGCACTTTAGTACTTGCTTAATTACCACTCGTCCTGATGTGGCATTTGTAGTCAACAAACTTTCACAGTTTATGCATGCCCCAACCGCACTTCATTTGCAAGCACATCAAGCGCCTCTTAGGCTATGTCATTAGTGGCACAAGTACTTTTGTTATTCACATCTGTCGCCTGGCCTCTCCACTCACTCTATGCATCTTTTTCGACTCGAACTAGGATGGGGATCTTGATGATCGTACCTTCACTTCTGGTTTCCTCGTCTATCGTGGTGGCACTCTCATTCTTGGAAATCTAAGAAACTGTCACTTTCTCAAGCACAGAGGCTGCGTATTGTGCCATTGCTCTAACAATGTCAGAGATCTAGTGGGTTCGTAATCTTCTGACTGAACTTCGTCAATCACTCTCCAATGTCCCTATTCTCTACTGAGATAACATGGTTGTTGTCTCATTCAGTTCTGATAAGGTCTTCCACTCTTGTATAAAGCATCTTGTCCAAGACTATCACTTCGTGCGTTAGCTAGTCCACTCTAAGAAAGTTCAGGTTCACTATGACGTTCCTACTACTTCATAGCTTGCTGATGCGCTCAAATGGCCTCCATGTGACTAGCTTTCGTTTGCTCTGCTCCAAGACAGGTCTTGTTGATGCCGCCTCTATCTTGCAGGGTGTATTAGAGACAAGTCTTTGTCCGCTTCATAATTGTATTTATTATTAGTGTTGTATCTAGTCTTCCGATCCTACTTGTACACTGTAATTGCTTGGGTATAAATATACGCTTGTTCAAATCAATGAAATCACGATTGATAACCTTACAACAATATCCCTTAGGTAGAGTGATTATTTGCAACAATATCCTTTAATCTGAATTGTGATTGATGAAGGCAATGCTCCAAGTGGTAGACCCAAGTAACTTGCAACAAGGTTTCCCAATTCTCCTAATATGCTGTTGAAAGATAATTGCGCTACTACTTATCAATTACTTATATTGGAGATTTAATAGGTTAGTTATAGGACAACATACCAAAGGATCAATACTGGTTTCGTTCTTTTGTACAACCACATTAATAAAATTAAACAAGCATAATTAATCTCTTCATGCAAATAAATTCTAAATATCAATTAACAACAACAAAAAAGCTCTCATTGATCATGCTCATACATCCAAATAATTTACAGTGGAGTGGTCTAACCAAGAAATTAGTGAGATATGGAGTGCAATTTAATTAGAATTAGCTATTAGATAAAGCAATATGTTCTGTTTTTTTTGTTCAAACCCTAGCGTGGCCACCAAGCTTGCGTTCGAACAAGCACCTCAAAAGGTAGGCTTGGAGGAAGCTCGCCCCTATCAGAGCAGCTGACTCGATCATCACTTTGTTCATCGCTTTTTTGCTCATGTCATCATTCACTGCCAAGAATCCATGGTTTAGAAATTTACTAGTTACTCTTATGTTTGAATTGAAACGAATTCAATAAACATGATATTTTAAGAGAAATATTCCTTTCTGGCGACCTTGGTTAACAGTTAGACCCGAGACTATCCGACTCTCATGAATATCCAATAAATTTGTGCGACAATTAATGAATATAATTCATACTTATAATGTGGGTGGTCATCCACGATTTTTTTTTTTGGTTAGAATGGTGCATTGGTTGGAGAAACTCGAATCCTGGAGGACAACCTGAGTCGTTGCCCACTTGAACCAGCCCTTGGTGATTAAATAAGCATGACATCTTAAGAGAAAGTGTCCAATATTGTGGGGTTCTATATATCTGAGAATTCTTACCCAATGCCTGGCGTTCAGTCTGAGACTCCAGCCAATGTTGCTCGAACTGGATGTTGTACAAGGCCTCCTCCAATTTCGTTATCTGCTCCATTAGTGGCCCAAAATGCTCTATTGCAGGGAAGGAGGAATATTCCATCAAACAAAGGTCACAAAATAAAGATTTACAATTTCTAAGGTTTAAAATTTCATACCGCTAAATACTGCTCTCTAGAACCCAAGAATTCTAAGAATCCCAATTTCAAACCCAAAAGGAAAGAAAGAAACGAGAGGGAAATGGTGATACACGAACCATTTTTAGCATGCTGGTCGTAGTAAGTGAAGTGGGCAATATGAACATCAAAATCAATGGTCTCATGGAAGGGAGATTTGTTGAAGAAACAGAAGCGGTAAACCCCTTTCTCATGGACTTGGAACTCGAACTTGGCCTCTGTTCTCCCCAACATTTCATGGAAAAGATCCCCTTGTGGCCCTTTAATCTGCCAAAAGGAAAAGAGAACAAAAAAAAATCCATATAATGCAGCATGTAATGTAGATTGCACGAAGTTTAACAATCATATATTTTGTAGCTGCACGTTACAGGAAGAATTCATGTACTGTCTAGGATTTTATGTGTGCAATTTGTAGGAATTGCATATATGATATATGATAGCTAGATTATCAAAGCGTCTGACATTTAGCCAAAGATTGTTCGAATATATCATACAATGTACTTTAACATTACTGGTGGTCTTCGAATAACATGATCTCGATCGTAAGAAATAAAACAATTCGAAAAATACAACAATGTATTATAAATCATCAGATTGTAGGCTCTCTAACTCGATCAGTTTTGGCTTTCACATAACTGGATCAATGTTATTAATCATCTATGTGATTTTTTCGCAAGTTTTCTTATTTGTATACTTGGACAATCGGTGGAATATATGAAGCTGGTATTCTAGTAAAAAAAAAAACTCCAGTCATTAGGAACAATTTTGTTAACATACGATGAAATCGACACCTTCGCTGCCGGAATTCCATGGGGAATTGGTCTTGATGACGACGAAGGAGAGGTGGACAGTGTCCGCCTCGTACTCAGCGTTGTGGGAGAAGCATTCTTCTCTGTCAATCACGAACCTTATGGCGTTTGTCTCTACCGGCGATATCAAGAGTATCGTCCCCAAAATTGAAATCGACTCCCACCACCTGCGCATTTTGCAGATATCACATAACAATAATAATCATTAGAGGAAAGCAAGTGCATTAATTTAGTAAATTCTTACCTTCAAAATGTACAAACAAGTTACAAGAAGGAAGAGATATTTTGTCTTCCGATTATCAGGCCGGCGAAAATGATTTTTCTGGCCCTTGGTTCTGTTATGGCGTTTCCGCAAGATGCGTCATGTTTGGTTGGTGGCACAAAAAAGAACCAACCACTTGTTTCCATTTGTATTTAATTTCCTCGCATGTCTCTCTCTATTCTTAATGGATCAATGTTCAAAGAGTTTATCCGAGCATCACATTAATACAATTACATTGTAATTGTATTTGTGCCCTTTATTGTCATCTCAATTTTTTTTCAATCTAATTCATATAACTTTATGTTGCGGAAATTAAAAGGATAGGTCTAAGGAAAGGCCCAAGGCGGCCCAATGAAGAAGAAGAGGATGCTTCGTGGGCCCAGTCCGCGGATTGGTTCGCGAGGCCAGGTCCAGGGGTAATAGGAGAAGCTAGGAGACAAGGTTCGGAAGATTCCAAGAGAGTACGTTATGAGCGCTTTGTCCCTGTTAGAGGTATGGAGTATTAAATGTGATGCTGACGTGGAACTGAGCTAATGAAGCTTGGTTCAAGGCTAGGTGAGTATAAATAGTGTCGGTAGGTAGCAATTACGCAGGTTAGATTCTCTCACTAAACACTAGAGCTTGACACTTCTCTCTCTAAAATCCAAACTAACTTGATCGTCGGAGGACTAACGGGCCCAGACGCCCTCCTCCGTGTGCATGTGTGCAGGTCAGGTGCCTAGCACTCGTAGAGCTGGGATAGAGCTGGTAGGGAGTTGGGCTCCAAAGTATCCGGGCCGAAACAATTAGCACGTCAGGAAGGGGAGTACGACCGAAAGTTGCAAATATGGAGGCACCGCCCAGTGGAGAGGAGGAACAAATCACGGGGAACCCCTCCGCGGGGTCAAGAGAGAGGACGCCCAAAGCCGTGGCGGAGGCAGGAAGCGAGTCGAGGTTCCCAAGTTCCGAGGGTTCCTCGCTCACCAAGAGAGATCTATTTAGGATTATCGAAGACCAGGATGAGGCGATTGAGATTCTTAAGCGGGAGGTTGAGGCGCTGAAGAAGGGAGAGGGAATGGTGTGAAGTCTGACTTCAAGGAAAAGGGAAAGAAATGTGGAGACAGAAGAAGAGTCTAGGCAAGCAAGGCGCCCCGCGTCCGTGTGGCGCCCGGGTGACCATGCAAACTCAGATTTCGAGGGGCGCCTTGGGTGGGTGCCAGGGCACCTGCCCCGACATTGCTTGGTGAGACAGCCCTTGGCAAGGAACGTGCTAATGGAGCCGGCAGGAACTAACATACCCCCACTTCCCGTCTACGATGGGACGGCAGACCCAGACGATCATTTGAATGGCTACTTCACGAAGATGCAACTCTACAACAGATCTGATGCCACCTTGTGCAAGGTATTCCCGTCGACCTTCGCGGGCGTTGTGCTGGATTGGTACCACCAAATTGAGGAGGGGTGCATTGACTTGCACAAAACGACACAACAAATTAATCCCAACTAGAGTCCAAGTTTTTAAACTCTAGTTGGGTGAAGTATAGAGAAAGTATTTAAATTGTCAACCCGGGCTGGTTCATGTACCCCTACTTCAATCGCTAAAGTTGTTATCTAGCAAAATGGTTTTGGGTTTTCAAACTAAGAAAACTACAAACTAAACAAGCAATAAAGGAAAATTCTAACTAAGGGAGCTTCACCCAGGAGTTTCTTCCCCCTAACTAGCTACCATGATTCATTGGATTGAATGGAGTTGTGTGGCGTAGGTGGTTGTGAATCGCCGGGGTGAGCAACTAGCGATCGATTTTTCACGGGATCGATCCACTCACCAAGTCTAGGGGAACCACTAGTAGGAGCAACTAGTGATCCATTTGTCACGGGATGGATTCACTAGAGATCGATTTGTCACTGGATTGATCATCTCACTCAGTCTCTAGTGGTTGCCTAGGTCTCTCCCTCAAACTGGAGTTTGAGCGGTTTAATCACAACCAATCTAGATGCAAACTTGAGTCAAGAGGGATGCTCATCTCTATCTCCTAGATAGTAGACACAAAGAGCCCAAGAAAACCAAACTTGTCAAGCCTACCTAAAAAAGTGCGGTTTTCCTCTAATCTAGGTTAGGCAAGCACACAAGATTTGGAAAGCACAACTAAGCACAATCACCATGAAAGCACCTCTAATACTCAAATTGATGCAAACCCATACAAAGTCATTCAATCTAAACAAGTAATTACAACAAAAGCATAGCTTACTTGTTGTTGATTGGAGTGAAACTCTGTGGAGGAAGCCATATATACCGAAGCATAGCTTACTTGTATGGCTAATTACTCTTGACAGAATCACAACAAAAGCTAAAATTTTGCAGTGGGGGATTGAAGTGGATAAATGTTTTGTATTGTGTCCTGGTGGTGAAGAGCCGAGGGATCACCTGTTTGTTGAGTGTTTGTATGGCCGTTTTGTTATAGCTACGGTATTGCAGGAAATAGTCACAGTCCCAGGCGTGCTATCATGGAATGATCATATGGACTGGGCTATAAGAACCTGGGCAGGCAAGTCTGATAGAGTGAAGGTTGGTAGAATGTTATGGTTGATTTCCCTGAGTTGTATTTGGCGAGAACGATGCCAGAGATTATATGGTTCCAAGCCAATCTGTTCTCCACATCAGTTGGTCAAGAAGAACATGAAGGAGGTGAAGATATTTTCACAGAACAACCTATTGCTGTCTAGAATAGTTCAAAATTATATGTAGTGAGATGAAAGCACTGTAATAGTTTATAGATTCCATGTTTGTACTTGGAGAAGAGTTGTTGCAAGTTGCAAACCCTAGTGCTTAATGCCAATTTTTGATTACCCATACATTTTTTTTATGGTATTCACTCAATTCACAGTTCACAATCTTATGTTAAATCAAAATTTTACTTCAATGGTAAATAGATGAATTTTCAAGAACATTTCTTTGTTACTACACAATCATTATGACTCCCTAGGTAAAATTGTACATAGGAATTTTCAATTTTAAGAATAAATTCATTCAAAGAAAATTTTAATTATATCGTTGTTTTTATAGAGTAATTAAACGAAAACCAATCTCTATGAGATGAAAGTTTGTACAAGTTTATCAAACTTCAAATTTAAATCTAACTTAAATATTATGATCATAAAATTTAATTTGACCACAAAGCCTCTGGCTCGACCATACACTATAGTACCATGTCGAGAAATATTTTCTTGAAAATAAGTTGAGTGTTGGAAATAGAAATATAGTATGAATGTTTTAAATATTCTGTACACTTCCTAGAGATCCCACGTAGAGGTCGCTGACGTACCTCCGGTGGCTACACCATTCCGTCACCTACATGTTAGTCGTACGCATGCCTGGAAAATGATGAAATGATTAGTTCAGACGTGATATTCAAAAAAAAGATTAGTTCAGACGTGGCAGTTTTCTCATATTAATTACTAGTCTGAACGACTGACTTAGAATTTTATGGAGTCAAAGAATATTGGTTAATTTTACGAGTTAATATACAGAGGATTTAAACCAATTCATTGGAAAATTAAACCATAATTGACCCAACTATTACCAATTCCACAACTAATCAACAAATTCCATTTTTATGATAAATCTAAATGTTTATGAAACCGTAATGGACAATAGGTAGTTCGAATCGTAAATATACTAAAAACTACATCAATAATCAATTTTTAGTAGTATGAGCTTGTTGAACGGTTGGGACTTGGGATTTTGAATGGTGTGAATGAGAACGAAAAGGAAGAAGCCAGCAGTTGGTGAGTTGTGAGAAGGTGTGGCGTCGAATTCGATGGTATTTTAGATGTGTTGGTAATCGGTTAGATTGAGTTGTGAGACCAACTCGAACCGAGTTGAACTGAATTGGACTGAACAATTGTAGCAATTGGAATAAACCAACCGGTTCAACTACTATGGCAAACCGAAGCAATGGTTGGATATTATTGTTAGTGAACCATTATAATTGTTGGGTGTAACCACTAACCAGCCACCCGAAGAGTCACATCTCTTCACTCACACTCCTTCATTTTTATAAATAACACTAACGTACCACTCAGGTTTGATACGCGAACTTTTGCCAAAATGTTTTTGGCCAAAAGAAAGAAAATAGTTTTCTTCTAAATTTCATTTTCCTCTCAACAAACACTTAAAATAAAATAGAGTCGTGTGATTTCTCGTCGTTCGTTGCGATCATTGGTTTTTGGGGTTTCAAGTATCGGTACGCCAGAAAAGGTATGTCTGTTCTATCCTGAGAGGAATAGTTTGGATAACCTTGGGTACCGTAGAGGGGAACTAAATTTCTTAAGAAGAAATAGTGTATTCTATTGGCTCGGACGATGTTTATGTATGTTTTGATAAAAAATTTATGCACGAGTCTTGATTTCTTCTCTTTAACATTTTGTTCACTTTAATTTCTACATATGACTTGTGTTGCTAGAAAATTGATATACGTGACATTTCTATAACATAAACGACAATTAAACTACAGTTTCAGTACAGAATATCATACCACTATACAACCTTTCATTGGATTGGATTTCGAAATACTTGATAGGTATAGAGTCCTTGTTAATTAGATCGTGGGAAAGTTCGCAAGCATGTGCAGCCAGCGTTTCACGCGGCGGTTGGTGTGAATCTTTATCTAACCCACCGATCGAGTACCGTGCAAGTATTAGGTATATTATTATCAATGACCAAGTATTAGTTGACATTTCGGAGTGGCTGGCCTATAATCGGAAACAAATTTACTTGTCGTAGTAGAAAGATCGATTCGTGCATGGATCGTACAAGATATGTATATTTTAGTTGACTCAAATTTTTGTTAAAGTTATAATTTAAATATGCTTGTATTATGGGAATATTGAAAATAAGTAGATGAGTCGGGTTAGGATGCCAAATAAAAGCACTTTTTCAGACATATCAAAATTAATAAGGCCCCTTGGATTAAGAGGAAGGTACATAAAAAGCTGTAGAAAGATCTGATAGTTAATACCAGTAGAAAACAAATTTGAAATCCGTAAATAATTTTAAAAATTGTAGTCTATACTCTATACCTCGTGTGAATTATAAGTTTGGTCATTTAAATTACTTATTTGTTTAATGTTTCCCATTAGTATATTTTTATTGCATTTAATGGTTACTATCTTTACACTCTTATCTCATCATTGATAATTTTGTCTTTATGATTGATAGTTAAATAAGTGACGGGACAATTAAAAATATAAAAGAATTAAATATATTTATCTCTCTTTTCTCATATTTTATATTTTGCATTTTAATTTTTAATGGGTCTGGGGACTGGGATCTGAAGTGGAGTTTTTTTGGGAGGATTAATTTTTTGCATTTTAATTTTTACCCTCCCATTTTCATGACATCTTGCTGGCTAGGTCTTCCGGTTGGAATATTGGATGGGTGTAATGTATTTGGAGATGAAAATACAATCAACAAAATATGTTTGAAAGTAGTTCGATAATAAAAGAGTAGGTTTGATTTGATTCATAATAAATACATGTTTGAATATATATAAAAAATACGATAGAAGAAGATATTATACATATCACTCTTGAGTTTATCATCATGATATCAAAATATAGAAGATTAGTAATTAAAATTCAGACATACAACATTTTTAGATAAACGAAACGATGTGTATTATATGAGAAATTATTTAAGTGGAATGGTTTTTGGAAGCACTTCTACTATGTTTCAAAGTATTGGTGCTTTAAAATACAATTTGAAGTTGTATCGTAACGTTGAAAGTAGAAATTAAAGTTTTATCATAAGAGAATTTCACCTTTATGTTATGATACAACTTCAAGTTGTATCATAACATAAAGGTACAACTATAATTTGTACCATAAAGAGATTTAAAAAAGAAGGTATAGTACTATAGGTACAACCCAAAGTTGTACCATAACATTAAAAATAATAATTCAAGTTGTACAATAAGACAAAAACTAAAACACCCGGCATTGTAAAAAAAATTCCTCTTTTTTGGAAGTCTTTGTTTAAAATAAGGAGAGTGGAATTCTGGTGGTTGTTGTTGTTGGTTTATCTAATACAAACATTTTCGGCGTGGCATACACATAGATTAGATATAAGATAAACTGATCATTAATTAATTCTGTGTAGCTCAATATATATAGGCATAGCGCGGACCGGCAAGCCAAACATATGATATCTCCAAATAAACTTGAAAAAAACTGATTATAACATTCTCTCTCTTTCACTTCTCTTCTGTCCTGGCCGCTGGCCGCCACCGGGTTCAGGTTGGCCGTACGTAGGTTTTATTTCTGACCCGACCGGCCACAACTGATCTAAAGGTACACTACCTAGCATCATAGCAGCATAGCAAGCTATTGATTAATTATTATCTTTTTATCAGTAACTAGTTTTCAAGAGTCCTAGGCTACACTAGGTACTAGAAATTATGGTTTCGCCAACTATAGACTGTGGTCGCCGAAACATATTAATTGCGGCCCTTGTGTATGGTCGTTTAACTAGCCACCCTCTTTTAAATTTTAATGGATGGCTATATGCATGTAATATGTACGTACGTGTGTCTGCCTTGCCTACCACTGAAAAATGGTACAAGGAAGGAAGGTCTAAGCGACCATTGCTAAGCGAGCCGAGCCGTATATATGGTCGCCAATGTAAATTTTTTTCTACAAAATTCAGGAGTAGCTAAATTCCAGAACCCATATTGATATATAAGTAAAATTTGAATCCAATGTATAATATATATATATATATATATATATATATATTACATATTGTCCTGCCCCGCCTTTTTATAGAGAAAGGAACTCATCCAACTAATAAAATGTTTCTCAAATGCATGCTATTGCTTGTAACGTCGTCAAGTGCATGCATTTTAACATGGAGGTGGTGGGTGGAAATTGGAATAGATTTAGTCTGTCAAATAAAAGAATAAAACCCTACTCAATCCATCGTTGCTGAACTATTAAATTCATAATTTCATAGAGGTTTTAGAACCACGTCTATCCTTTTTCAACAAGATTTTTTCATCTTTACCTTTATAAAACAACCTACATTATGATATGGATTTCAAATAATATTAATATAAAACATTCAAATAATCATTGCATATTCAAATGTCGATATTGTATCGATAAAATTATGTCTTGATCGATAAACTAGTTAGTTCGGTCAACATAGTAATCAAGATTTTTATCTTAGCTTCAACAAACAATCCCTCCTTGCAAGTTAGCATGGTTCGACTCTATAGTCTTGTTTTACCCTCCTCACTTTAAATGTTGGTTCAACAATTCCTCCTTGAATGAAATTCTAACCAAGTTATTGTTTATAATCATTTATTGATTCAATGTTGATAATTACAGGCAGGAATAAATATTTAAATAAATTTGTATTAGTGAGTTCTTCATATTATTCTTTCCATTTTTTTTTTGTGAAAAATCACAATAACATATTCCAACTTATTTACTTTTATAAGTAACTAATTTAGAAAATATTTCTCTAAATTAAACACATAAATTATCCATATAAATGGAATTCTTGGGGAAATAATATTCATTTTAAACATAATATGTTTGAGACCATCTCTTTATTATTGTATTTACTCGGTTTTTTTCTGTTGCAAAAAATATACCAACTCAATCAAAATTGTATGAGCATAACGACAATTATAAGGTGTTGGATTTTCATCTCGTGGATTTATCTTATCCTTTGTAAAAAAATATAACTAAATACAATTCTTTATCTTTCTTAATCTTTCAAGTTAGGACAATTTTCAAAAAAAAAAAAAAAACTCATAATTTGATATAATTAAAAGGAAAGCAGAAGGTAGCTAAGCACTTACATAGTTACATTACATATGCAAAAAACCGAGTGCTTTTAGCCTTTTCCTTTCCTCATCCTCAAGACCGGACGAAATTGACCTTTGACTTTATGAACCAAAGTTCATTGAAGATGCGGCGAAGCTGAGAAGGAAACAAGGTCAGACGGAAAAGGTTTATAAATTGAACAAAGAACGTTGAGACCAGACCAAACCAAACGCGGGCTTAATCAATAAAATTAATTTGCAGAATTGTATTGTATTTTATTTTTATCACAGGCCAATTCTGGGTGTTTGGTTGATCAGATTCCCAGGTCGAACAATGGCGGCTTCCATTAATACGATACTAATAGCTATGCTGGCCACTTTCCGCTCGCAGACATCCTTGAAGCCCCAAGGCGGTTTGCTCTTACTTCTCCTCTCCACGAGTACGCCGCCCACAGACCTTTCTCCTCCTCTTCCTTAATTTCTTGTCCCTGCCACTTTTGGTACTTTTGCATAGGTTTTTTCATTTACTGACTATCCGTTTGAGCCGATTAAGAATCAAAAGTAGTCGTAATTGTTTCACAACTTGATTGAACTCGAAAGGGTTACGTACCTCCAAGTTTTGGTAATTGGGTATTGGCCATTCCTGAGGGAATCGGTAAATTTTGGGGTTTGCTGGGAAACTTGATTGTGTTTTTACCATGCTTGCTCTCTGCAACTACGGTCCAGCGGCCTGCTTTTCGAGATTAGGACGGAAAACTACTATTAATTTGTTGCCTCCTGTTCATTTCTCAATACCGATTTGCCCTTTCCAGACCCAATTCAGAGAAACCAGCTGTTCTCTTGTCCTGGTTTCTTCTTGAATTGGAAGAAGGGGAGTTTCGAGGAATTCTCTTGATGATTTTTTGCGGAATACTGAAGAAACGGTTTCTGTTTTTTTTTCTTTTCCCCCAAGGTAGAACTATGACTACCACGAGCAGCAGCGACAAGGAGAGAGTTTCCTCCTCAGTAAGAGTAAAGAACATGTCTTCTTCTTTAAAAAGTGTTGTGGTTCCGACAATCGCAAATGAGGGTCCCCATGTGGATGGAGGAGTGAAGGAAGAGATGGAATTGTTAAATGCATCAGAGGATTGGTATGGTGGAGTGACTGTGGTAGTGAGTGAGCCTATGGAAGTTGCGGATTTCGTGCCACGACTGAGACATTCCATCTCAAAATGGAAGGAACAGGTAAAAATAACAACGGCTTATTATTTTGGGTTTAGAGGCTTCAAGTTCTGCAGAATTTGATGGATGTTCTGGGGTTCTGTATAGGGAAAGAGGGGACTTTGGATGAAGTTGCCGATTAACCAGTCTCATCTGGTGGATCCTGTAGTTAAGGTACTCAAAATCATAACCTGGTTTAAGGTTTATTTCTAGGATGGACTTTTTTCCTCTTTGGTATTTGATGAACTTGTGTCTGGGATTTGTTGGTTACAGGAAGGGTTTAGGTTTCACCATGCTGAATCAGATTATGTGATGCTCGTGTGTTGGCTTCCTGAAGATGAACCTGATACACTCCCAGTCAATGCCACTCACAGGGTTGGTATTGGGGCACTCGTGCTCAATGAAAACAAAGAGGTAAAGATAGCTCAATGGATGGGCTCAAATGTTTGAAACCGTGTTCCGAAATGCTTGCCAACCCAAGATTTGGTCTCTTGTCCCTGATCAGTTTGCCAATGGTTTGCTGTCATGTTTGGCTTGCTAGGTATTGGTAGTCATGGAGAAGAATGGTGCTTTCAAAGGCACAGGGTATTGGAAGCTGCCAACTGGTGTAGTTGATGAGGTAAGAGGCTTGGGGAAAATGGTTTCTTTTTAAAACTCTGCAAAGTTCCTTGATTTGGTCACACGATGGCTGAAATTTATGTGCTAAAATCTACAGGGTGAAGACATCTCTGCAGCTGCTGCAAGAGAAGTGAAAGAAGAAACGGGAGTAAGTAGATTAGAAAAGTTCTCTCAGCATCTTTCCAATTGCATAAAACTTGCTCTTGTGCTGATCTATATCATCTCTGGGCATTTCAATCTTTTGTCAATCAGATTGACGCTGAGTTTGTCGAAATTTTAGCATTCCGGCAAAGTCACAAGTCGTTCTTCAGCAAATCAGACCTGTTTTTTGTCTGTATGATGAGGCCACTTACTTCGAATATCACTGCCCAGGAATCGGAGATTGCGGCATCTAAGGTGAGTGGTTCTTCCAAAGTACTTTGCTTAAAATGCTTTGAAATTGAGATCATTGTACCATCTCAGGGATTCCATAATATATAAATGCCACTAAGACACAAATTATAACAGAAAACAATCACTTCTTTTCATTCTGTCTAATCTGCTGTTACCAGTCGACGCTTTATGTAACCTACTACACCCAATCCCTTTGAACTAAAGGGAAGCCCCGACCCCGGACCCAAGATGTAGCCCATTCTCGATATGGAAATGGTTGGGTTGGGTTGGGTTGGGTTGGGTTGGGTTGGTGCATAAAGTGCTGAATTGGATGGGTATGGTTTGTGATGTGGCAAAGTTACTTACCATCCTGATTCATCCGAACCAGGTGCAGATTAGACAGAATGTGTAAGTGAGTGTTTTGTTGTACTTTAATTCAATTTAGTTACCGTTCTGCTACAACTTGTACCATCTCGAGAGCTGGTTCTTTAAGAACACCATTTGACCGGCCGGCCTTTTGCAGTGGATGCCAATCAATGAGTATGTTGAACAGCCCTACAATAAGCAGCATGGACAGTTTAGGTATGTTGCGGAGATCTGCAAAGCTAGAGCAGAAGGGGAGTACGTTGGGTTTTCTCCGTTTCCAGTCTCATCCGCTTCTGGCAAGGACGTTTACCTGTACTACAACAAGCAGGACGGTAGCAGATTGTAGGCACGTCTCTAGCTCTCGTCTCGCTCTGACCAACTCTCACTTACAGCTATATCATTAAGTTCACCTTAATGTTGGAAATTTGGGGTCAGCGACTCAGCCTTCACCTATATCGTTTATTATCTACTAATAATACCCCCTGTATTGTATATATATCATTGTGTAGGAAATATTTGTTGCCAGTTAAGTATATTATTTACCTTCACCTATCCAATCTTAAAGCATTTGTAAATTGAAGGGATTCTTATTTGTACAAATGCTACTTCGAACTTGGAACGAGCATGAAGAAATTAACGATACTTCTTTATCTTTTGAGTTGTTCTACCGGAAAGGTTGCTCAAGACCTTTGGTCCCTACCCATACCCGATGGCCTGGGATATCATTCTTTTGACTCAAATAGTAAGAAGTTCTCGTTTCTTAGAAAATATATTTTATTACCTTAATTAATAATTGCAAAAAATATAATTTGTATACTATTATTTCAATTTCCTGAATGGTCCGAGGATTTTAAGGATCGGAAGAAAGAAATGCATGTTAAATGCACTTATAATGGAGTTCCATTGATAGAAATTAAATTAAATTATTTGTCTGTTATATTATAGTTCTTTTTTTTGTTCTTCTTGTTTAACTTTAAGCTCGGATCACTTGTATTATGTTGTGGTCTTGTCGAATTACTAATTAGTAACGGTTGGTCGAAGGAGTGCCTTGAACTCGGTGGTTAGAACCAATGCAGTCAAAAGCGCGATTCTACCTAGAAGCGGAAAAGGGGTAAAATCATAAAGCATAGAATCAAAGCGTAAAAGCGTAAGTTTTTGAAGCATACTGAAAAATAACTAAAAAGCTAGGACATATACTATGTAAAATATAAATGCACGAAATTTAGATAAGTTAATAATTACATGCAATTCATGCCTCAAGTAGAGCAACTTGTAGCATCTTAATAATGAGTTTGTAAACATAAATTTTAACAATAAGCCACTTCTTCCTCTATGCTAATGCATTCGGGAAGAGCCTAACTGGTGAATTAGATTACTCTATTAAAGTTGAGAATGCATCCAAGTACATGATATGTATCTTTTAATCTCAAATGTATCATATTGTAGGTGATTTACTTTTAAAATATACTTTTTATAATTAATTTCATGAAAAGAATACTCATTCAGTGAACTAAAAGCGTAAAAACGTAAAGCGTTTTGGTGAACTAGAAGCGTAAAAGCGTAAGCTGTTAAGCTTTAAAGCGCAATTTAGTCCGATTTTATACACTTAAGTTTTTATATGGAAACGAAAGCGTTCTGGTGACCTAAAAGCGTAAAATCGTAAGTTTTTAAGTTTTAAAACGCGATTTTGACTGCATTGGTTAGAACTATAGATGACCAAATCGCTCACTTTTGATTTGGTAAATACCAATACGGGTAATAGTAACCATTAACCAGTTAGTGGTCATCAACCGAAAATTATTATCAGTAACCGACTTGCTAAGGCTTAGCGGTTAACTGTTGATATGATTGATGGTTATTTTAGCGGTTAACCTGTTATGGTCCTACCTGCCAGAAAGAGAATGGTCGTACGTTAATGGATTTCGAAATAAGGGGATTATTTGTCTTTTTAAAGAATGTATAAAAGAAAAGTGATGGGCAGGATAAACCCTAGCCGCGTGATCCCTTTTTCTCTTCACTCTTGTCTTCTCACCTCTCTTTTCTCTCTACAAATCGAAAACGAACTTTGTTGACCAACAAGAATAAGAAAACAAAACTATTATTCTCCTTCACTCTCGGACAGTTGAACCCTAGCTGAAATCTCTTCTCCTCTCTTCTCCGTCCAAGTAAAATAGAAGAGGAGGGCGACAACAATAACTACGTCGAGGCTGACCATCGTTGCTTCTCGCTCTCGATCATACTCTCGTCGATTTGATGGGGAAGCCACCATAAAGGTTCCTTAGCATGATTACAAGTGATACGTGTTTCATGGCACAACCTCTTCCACTATCCTCAATTCTTCGTTTGAGCCTAGAAGACGAGGAAAAAGGAGTTAATGAGTGTAGAGCAATTAGGGGGGAATTGTTGACTTAATTGAGTGTGACATTTTACCTATTTTGACTGGTTAACAACCATTATAGGTTATAAATCGGTTAGTCGCTAACCATCAATTATTAATCGTTTATGAATTGGTAACCAGATAAGGGGTTTTGAGCTTTCGTTAGACGACCCGCATTCTCCTTAGTGTTTGACGGTTTAACTATTAACCGTCGGTTAGCAGTTAAACCGTAAACGAAAAACATTTATCACCCTAAGTACTAAGCGTAACATCATTAGGCATGACTTGTTTTAATGGATCACTTGCATTTCACATAAAATTAAGATACACAAAATCAATTCAAAAGTGTCTGATCACTTGAGTCCGTACAGATTATTGTCAATGGTTAGCACGTTTCAACAACTATCTCATACTAAGCCAAGTTTAACCTAAGATGGCATTATCATAAAGCGGTAATCAATGTCGTATTTTACTCGGGTCCTGGTACCCTAGCCAACTTCCCACCTAGTTGTTAATGAGTTAATCGGTTTTGAAGGTGCGAGTGGAGGATTTGAGGGAATTACTACTTTAGAGATTGAATAAAGCTAAAAGCAGGTATTTCGGGGAAACCGTCCCTCACCCTAGCCTAGGGCTACTATGTATATCTAGATACTTAGGATTATCGAATGTGGTGAGTGAGCTCGTTTCCGTGGGATTTCGTGGTTATCCACACACCTCCGAGTACGCCTCCCTAGACCCATATAAAGTCACCTCGATCTAGGCTATCGTGTGTGAGGAACTAAGCTCATAGCTCCTTTCAATGGATACTATCCACCATCCACACCGAGGTTTTATCCCAAATTCTATATGGGAAGGCTACCTATAACAAGGGTTCGGTCGCCACATCTACCTCGACCACCACATCTACCTCGATTTGCTTGATAGCGCACACCCACTAACCCTAGAACTCCGTACCCCCACCCTAAAATATCCATACATACATACATAGTAAACCCTAAACTAGGGTTTGGGGTTTAGAACCCTAGTACCTTAGAGGACTACTCCATAAAGGAGGGAAGAAGATACATAGAAGAAATTGAAAAAGATTTGAGGTTGATTAAGATACCTCCTCTCTTCTAGCTCATTCTCCTTCTCCTCTTCTACTTCCTTCAGCTTCTCTCTCTTCTCTCTCTCTAAAACCAGAAATTCTTCTCTCAAAATCAGCTAATCTACAAGGGGGAAAGGGGTCTCCTATTTATAGGCAATCAGAGGACAGAAAAGTTCGCGGCCAGAAGGGTAGAGATCGTGGGCGGTATCTTCAAAGAAGAGGCCGCGATCTTGAAACGCAGTCGTACTGACCTTCGGGATGCAAGAGATCGCGGGTTGACTTCCCGGTCTTGATCCGTGAGTCACGACCGCGATCTTCCCCGCAGTCAAAATGAATTGTGGCCGTGATTCGACTGGGGAAACTCTCTGTTTCTCCTCAGCTTCTTCTTCGCGAAGTTCGCGCCCTGAGCCAGGCCTCGATCTTCAGCTTGTCTTCGCGGTCCGGGATCTCGGCCGTGATCTTTACTTCTAGGACAAGATTATCAGTCTTCTGCCCCCTCTACACTTGTGACCTTGTTTTGTACCTAATTCGCATATATCGTCTACACACCATAAAATCACATCGAATTCAAACAGGAACAGAATAGGGATGCAATTGACGGCGTTTAAGCATTTATGCACATGAATTGGCACAAAACAAACCACAATATGAAGGGTAAATAACACCAATTTAGGTGTTATCATACTCCTCCACACTAAGGTGTATGCTTGTCCCCAAGCAAACCTACTCACACCTATGCAACATGATAGACAAATCAATGGGGAGCTGTGCTTCGGGGATTCTCTAACACAAATAAGCACAAGAACTCTCGAAGGTTCTTTTTATTCTCTCTTGATATTTAGGAGTTTTCGTTTATTGGTCACCTTTTTCAACGTTGACGCGCATTGCATCAAGCTTTTGCAATTCTTTTTCAAACTAGCATCTCTCCCTCATGACCAAGAGCGGATGAATCATAGCCTTCCCTTTCAAGGTCATATGTGGGGAAGTTGATGAGTGGATTCGTCTTAGCCTGAGCACCCGTTCCCAGCCTGTACTCCACATTGGTTTGCCACACAAATTGAGTACAAACGAGATCTATGAGGTCTCATGAATCGCTAAAAGGTACTTTGGACCTTGACATATGATTTCGTGAGGAGGAAAGATGCATGGGGGATGGTAAGTAGTGAAATACGGCTGGGATGCGGTAAAGCTATTCGATCCCCATGCATATCCTGAAAGGGCACTCCGAATCCGCGAGGATTGGTTGCCTCTCACGTGAGCCTCATTTTCAAAATATTTTTCTTTCTTTACTTTCATTTCTAATGCTCACAAATCTTTTAAAAGCTTCGAGTTCCAAAATAAAACAAATAGAGAATCCCGCACACATGTTCTTCTTAAAATAACACATATTATTGACTCACAAAAGAGGAAGAAGATAGTAAAACCCCTCATACACCGGTACTCTTATCATGCAACTATCACCTGGCGAGCATAACACATCAATTATCTAACAAATCAAAGCATATCGAGTAGGGATTGCATGGAACAAGGTGTTTTGGAACCATCAAATTTGAGAAAATTTGAGTATAACATTCAAGGTTCCGGAACACTATCATTTGACTATTGATCACCACAACACAAACACAATTGCTAGCACACGGTCTCGTAAGTATTCATTAACGTCTTACATTCATAAACAAGGGAGGATTCTAGAAATTTATGGTTCAACCAATCATGATATTCATTCACACATTCATACACTCCCCCCCCCCCCACCACACTAGAGCAACACATTGTCCTAAATGTGGGAGTTTTATAAGAAAAGATCGTGAAGGTTACCTGATAAGGGCGTAATTACATATGTTTTGCCCCCGTTTTACTTAGGTGTTTGTGGCAAATTCACTCCTAAAAGGTTGGTTTTACGCTAGGTTCCTCGTGTTTTAGTGTGTTTCAGCGGGAGATCACTCATTTCCGCCAAAAGCCAAATGAGTCACTACGTGAGGCCTGGGAGCGGTACTCGGGATTCTTCTGGTAGTGTCCCCATCACGTTTCAGTGATGCGGTTTCAGTGATGCATTCACAGTGGGGAATTTCTACATCGCTCTAACCCCGGAGAGCCAGAGGGTGATCGAGTCTCTATGCTTAGGAGGGGGTATTCTCGCCAAGACTCAACTCGAGTTGAATCAGATGATCAGTACTTTGGCTGCTAGAGATCATTCTTGGG